CTATGTGGTTTTTTCCTTACCAGCCAGAATGTCCTCCATTCTTTTATTAGTTCCTTATATCTACCTACCCTTCTGCCGGTCCACCCACCCACCCAGGCTGGTGGGCGAGTCACGACTGACTCTGGATGTGCTAATTGTGCCGTGCTGTTCACATTTCTACGATGGGCAGTGCTGACCCCACCCCCCCCGATCACCAGCAGTTCCCTACCCTAATTGTCCTGATGCCCAAATGCCCCACGAGCTTCTCAGAACGCTTAGAAGGGCACCACCACCGTTGGGAACTTTGTCTAGGGCTGTCCATGGAAAGATAGACCTTAGTGAAACTATCCCAGCTGCTTACACAGTATTTTTTTCCCTATTGGCAAAAGTCCTAAGTGTTAATTGTGAAAATTTGTGTTCTCTTTTTACTCTCTACCTTTCTGCAAATGTGAAGAGTTGTAGTTACCACCACCCGCGATGTTCTTTCCCGGGGGGCACCACGGTCATGTTTCTGGCATCTTTCTGAGTAATGTTCTCTGGGTGCTTGTGCACACAGACAGGTGAGGGTTGGAGTTTTTGATATAAACGGTGTCATTGATAAGATGGGATTATTTTACAAATTGCCTTTTCAACAATAATATGGCAGGGTAGCATTTTCAAAGAATTTATTTAAATCATCCCCTAAAGCCGTTTCATGATTTGAGAAGGCAGGTGAGAGATTTTATAAATTAAATGGCTGTTTTTTACATCTCGCGCCTGCATGTGCACTTGTGGAGGATTGTCTGTCCCGGGCCGGGCAGTGTCATCCCTGCTTCCCCATGTGCACTCGGCTTAGACTGTGCATGTGTTGGTCTCCCTGTCACTCTGAGCTCTGGGAGTCAGAGCTCCCAGCTTTCTCAGCTCGGGGTCCTCGAGGTGCAGGGCCTGGCCCTGATGGGTGGTGTTGTGGGCAGCTGGGGAGCAGGCCGGCTGCAGCTCTTCGACGGCAGTGTGTGTGCGTGCCCATGTTTGTGCTGACGGGATACAGTAGGACGTGGGATCCAGTCCAGTTTCAGATGAAACAGGTCGGCTTAAATTCTGTTGTTGGCAAGTCATGTGTTTGGTATCTGTGCTGCCTTCGCGAGTCCGCAGTGCCTTCCCTGTGCTGGCTTCCAGGGCCTGTCCGTCCTGCCTGCCTGGCTGGGAGAAAGTCGTGTACGGGGCACTTGGGGTCATGGTCCAGGGGTGCCCTGTGCGGCAGCCACCTCCCATGGCAGCGGCGGCCTCGAGCAGCTTGTGGAGCTGCTCCTGGAGCATCTGCACAGTGTGGGTCAGAATTAGCTAAGCCCACATCCCTGTGGCCCAGAGGTTTGGCACCGAGAGCCCCTGTCCAGCCCCGGCCCCGCGGCATGGTTCCCAAGGCCCCGTCCCCTCCGCTGTTGCCAGGCTTGTCCCATTCCTGTGATTCTACCGATTTCCCCTTGGAGTTGTGTTTCTTTTTTTGAACCCCGGGATCGCCTGGAACTTTCCACGTCAGTGGTTTCCTCTCCTTTGTGATCTTGGTGGGGCAGTGTTTCTGGTCTCTCTCCGTCCTTGACGTGGCCCATGTTTAGGGGGCAAAGCACTGCATAGCGCAGCCTCTGTGTCTGCGGACAGGAGGGCTCCTGAGGCCCCAGGCTTCCCTAGTGGCTCCCCGTTCGGGTTCCCACCCCCCTGGCCCCCCTCCTTGCCCCAGAGATGTGGAGGCAGCATGCCCTGGTGGGAGGCATATATTACCTTTGGAGCCAGTGGGGTTTGAGTTGTAAGCTGTCACGACTGTTGGCCATTTTGGGGTCTGCCTCTGAGGGCCCTTCCTGGCCCACAGTGTTGAGTCTCCTGGGCCTCGTGGCAGATGCTGCAGTAAGTTAGCCTCTGACCGACAGCACCTGTGCTGAACGTGCGGCTTTTGCTCCTGGTTTGGCCTGGGCTGTGCCCCCAGGAACCACTAGAGCCCCATCTCCTGTGGGGAGCCCCAGGAGGACCCCGTAGCAGCTGCTCCAGCCTTGGTGGGGTGTTCTGTTCTCGGCTCTGACCCTGTGCCTGCGGTGCAAGCCTTCCGGAGTGTTCTGTGCTGCCCTCTGCGTTTTCTCCTGTGTCAGCTGATGTTTTCTCCAGGAGGATGGATATTTATCTCATTCTGACAATGAGGGTCATTCCGATTCTCTTGGCTTTTTTTGAAGACAGATTGGCATAGGGGTGCTCTGAGTTAAATGCCATTACTTCATTACATTGAAGAGTGACAAAGGGCCCGTTGTGAGAGGTGACACTTGAAAGAGGCTGCCCAGCTGACCTTTCCTGGCATAAGGCAGTAAGACAGCTAAGCAGACCAAGAAACATCTCCGAGGCCTGCGTCCCACGCTCCTGCACTGGGGGGCCCGCTGCCCCTGTGAGCTGGGGATGCTCTGTCCTAACAGCCGAGGCAACATCTTGGTGCTTTGAAGGCCCTGGAAAGAGAGAATGCGTTGATGGAAAACTTCTCAGGAGGAGTCCTCTGAGGATTGTGGTGGAGTCCGTTCCCTGAGATGGGGGATAAAATCAGACCTGCTCTAGGGTGGTGGGGAGTGGAGCTGAGTCCGCCGAAGCCAGAGGAGGCCGCTTACACTCGCGCCCGCCGGCTTGCTCTTCCAGCAGGACGGTGTCATGTGCTCGGTAGTGACCCCAGGAGACCTCGCTTCCTCCTCTGTAGACAGGCGGAGTTGGTGCCTCCCCCCTAGACTGCCTCAGGCCTTCAGAGCCAGCATTCCCGGCAGAGCCATACATGGCGGGGCTTCATCGGAGGCTGCGTGCGGGCCAGACGTTGGCCTCCCGGGAGAGCCGAGGTCCGAGGCCAGGCACCTTGCTGGGCCGAGGCCAGGGGGCAGAGCGGTGCCCGGCTGTGGGAGGGAGAGCCCACAGCCCTCGGGGCAGCTGGGACAGGGCACGGGTCCCCGGTGGGCTCGGACTGAGGAGGGAGCTCAGAGCCGGCCAGGCCAGCCTGGGAACGCCTTCACCACAGTCCTGCATCCGTGGGGAGGGGCTCTGAGCTTCTGCAAGGCATCGCCTCTTAACTCATCTCTGTGCCCAAGGCCCTGGGGTGTAGGGACCGAGCCACCACACGGGGAGCACCTGCTGTGTGTTGTCGCATTGTCCCAGCAAGGGAACGACAGCCCAGTGTTCCACAGGGGACAAGTGATAGGCAGTATGGCCCATCCATACCTCGGAATGTTCTTCTGCTATGGAGAGGACTGAGGTGCTGGCACAGGCTGTGGCCTGGATGACCCCAGGAGCTTGGCACTGAGCGAAGGGAGCCAGACACGGAAGGCTCCATCCCGCACAATCCCATTACGTACAATGTCCAGAATGGGCAGATCCACGGAGGCAGAGCACAGAGCGGTGGTTGCCAGGGGTGGGGGAATGGGGAGTGCCTGCTGATGGGCTGGCTTGGGGTGGTGAAAAAGTTCTGGAATTATGTGGTGATGATGGTTATCCAGCTCTGTGAGACACTAAAACCCAGTGATTTGTGTGCTTTAAAAAAGTTGAATTTTATTGTATATGGACTACATCGCAATAAAATAAACCCCCGAATGAAACCAAAACGCAGAAGTGCTTGTTGAGTGAGCGGGGCAGTGAAGGAATGAGTGGGGACAGAGTGACTTTCCTGGCCGCAGCCCCCACAGACGTGGTCCTGGGCGCCCCGGGGACGTGCGGTGACAAGGGGCTGAGAGCAGAGCTGATGGGGACGTGTCCTCGCGGCTGTACGCGGCTGGGATGGATGCGCGTCCGGGGCTGGGCCTGCCTGTGTAGACTGGTGTGGCCCACACTGGCCGGGCTTGGGTCTGCACTCACCTGGCCTGTTGTCACCATTGTGGTTTCTGTCGTGAACAGGGAGCGGAGTGGAAGGGGGTTCACCGTGGCTCTTGCAGCCACGTGCTGTGACGTGAGGCGAGGCTGTGTGGGGCTGTTGTCAGGAGGGCCTGTGTCCTGACCACGCTGCCACGGGCTGTCCCCGGGGGCCACACCTGCTGTTTCACTGCAGCCTCTTTCCAAGGGGCGCCGTGGTGGTGGTAGCAGACGTGTGACGGGGGTTCATGAGCGAGGACATTCGGTCGTGGGGAGGAGCGCCTGTCGCCTCACAGCTACTCAACAGGTGGTAGCAATTAGTATTCTTAGGGTTATTGTCATCTCTACCTACTTAAAACTTTCCAAATATGTTCTCGGCAGAAATGTTTCTTTGCTTCAAGAATGTTTTTCTTGCAAGGATGCCCTGCATATTGGCAAAATAAAACAAAAGTAAATAAAATGAAAAAATAGAATGCACAATTTCTAAAACATTTATGAGTGTTGTGCTAGATGATAGCAGCGTTTGTAAGGATCTAAAACTAGTTTGTTCAAATGTCTGATAAGCCATTTCAATTAAGTGTCTGTTTTGCATTTTAAAAATTTTAAGTTATGTTCTCTCATTGGGTTTTTTGTATCCGAAGAAGGAGGCTATTCAGAACACTGCCGCCTGTTCTTTCTCTTCAGGCTCCTGCTTTCACGGGTGCTCGCCTGTAGCCGAGGGGTCTTTGCCCAGCGTGGTTTTGGAAACCCTCACCTTGGGAACCAGTTTTGAGAGAAATTATTGTCTAATGAATATGTAACCACATGAGAAGCAGAATTTTAAACAATCTTATGAAAAAGCTTTCAGATCTGTGTTGGGAATAAGTAATGTCTTTTAGGCCCTCTCTTATGAGGAGGCGAATTGCCTGAGAAGCAATAATTTATAATATATTAATTATGTTAATTAATTGGAAAAGACTCAGAATATTAATTATCTGCAACTAATTAGGTATTAAAATGGAGAACCATTAAGTGATGAGGTTGAAGCCTATGAGCCATCTAGTTCGAGCAAGAAAAATGGGCCCCGGCGTGACCTTGCCTGCTGCGTGCAAGTCTCTACCAGCCATGCCCCCCCCCAGCCCCGCCCCGTGGTGTGTCCTGTGGATTAACCGCTCGCTGTCTTTTCCATGCTCCCTGGCGCACAGAGGAGGAGGATGTGGACGCTGCCGACGTCTCCCGCGTGCCCGCAGACGTGCTGCGTAATGTCGAGGCCGACACGTACTGGTGCATGAGCAAGCTGCTGGATGGTATTCAGGTGAGCCCCTGCCGGCCTGGACTCTGTATCTGAAACCAGTGTCATGGGGGTGGGGGGCACTGGGCCTGTCGCACAGGCCTGCCTCTGGGCTCAGCCTGGCCACGTGCTGCCTTCTGAAGCCTCCCCTTCTGTGCCTGGGCTATGCCTCCTTCACAGGGTCGACAGGTGTGAGAAATACTGCGTGCGTGTGGGGCTCCGCTGGACTCGGTGTCAGTCAGGGTGGATGGCAGAGATTTTCGCAGAAAGGCCACAGGTCTCCCAGGGCCAGGGGTGATTTTATGGAAGTGGATTGGGGGAAAGACCCTACACAGAGTAGGAAGGAGGGCTGGAGCCTCTTGATGTAGCAATCCATGGTCAAGGTAGATGGAGGTCCCCTGGTGGGTGTGGACCATCTTAGCCTCACTCTGTGCTGACAGGGCTTTCGTAGATGCACACTCTGTGCCAGGGGCTGCGTGCCTTCCTGGGGAGGGAGAAGTATGTCAGCAGAGGCCTCCCAGGAGCTCAGTGTGGGACACAGGGTAGACCTGGAGGGGGCATAAGACACGTGCTCCCGAGGACCCGATTTGAGAATGCAGTGAGACTTGGAGGAGGGGTGACGGGGGTGGGGGGTGGTGTGTAGAGCCCAGAGCAGGGTTTGGTTGATGGAGGTTTTCTGTGGGACCTCATGGGCTGGGTTCATTCCAAAGATGCCCCAGGGACGGAGGCCGTGTGGGCGTCTGTGCGCTGTGCCGGGACCCCTTTTGTCGCAGGTGAGTAGGGGAGAAGTTGATGGGGTGCACTTGTTATCTGCGTTTCCCGCCAGGCTGGGCCTTCCTGAGCCGTTGTCATGGTGCTGTTCCCGACACCACTGCCCGTGGAGGCCTTGGCTCAGCTGCTGGGCTAAAAGGGGCCCGAGGAAGACTTTTACATGATGTGGTCTCCAGATTTGGGTCCTGAGGTTTAATTTGAATAAATTAGCCAGAATGACTGTGTGGGAGAGAACGGTGTGGGCTCACCTTACTTTTGATAACTGAGAAGCGACAAAGAGCAAGTAGAAGCCCTTCCCGTAATGACGAGTAAGAACCTTGTTTGCCTCTTACAGAGGAAAATAGGATTTTGGCCCAAGCCTCAATTTATCATTCCCCTCCATTGTTAACGTTTTCATATGTGTTAGTCTTCTCCTAAAATGTAAGACTTTTTTCTTCCCGTTTAAGAAAGGGATTGAATCATAACGTGAGACCTTATAATTTCAAGTGTCACTTCTGTGATCATGAGTGATGGAATTCCTGCCATTTACATACTTATCCTGCTTCTATTTGTGAATAAAACCAGCTCTACACTGGAAGTGACCCTGGCTTTTCATTTTTCATCTGAAGTTTGCCGTCTGATGAAATGGCTTTTGGACCAGGGTTGCGTGTGCGTGTGTGTGTGCGTGTGCGTGTGTGTGTGTGCGTGTGCGTGCATGTGTGCGTGCATGTGTGCAGCGCGGCTTTCTCCCGGTATGCACGTTCACTGCCCTCTGCAGGCTGCCGCAAGCCACAGGGCCCTGACGTGAGCAGGTTACCAGCACTGGGGGACTCGGGGAGATCTGTCATTCCCTGAGATGAGGACAGCTCCTCTGGGGGGCTGTTGGGTGTGTGCGGGTGCCTCCACTGCTTTGTGTGGACAGGTGTGAGGGTCTGAGGGGACGGAGAAGCAGGCGGAAAGACGGACCGGGTGTCAGCGCCCTGAGGAGCTGGAAGCTTCTGTTGCTGTGCTTGCTCTCATACACCTGGGCTTGCCCCGTCCTCTCTGCTCTCTCCTGACGACTCGAGAGCCGTCTTCCTGGAGCACCTTCTCATCACGTCACTGCCCTGCTTGAAAACCATTGAGAACTCATGCTTGGCCTTGTTAAGTGAGGCCCTGTCAGCCTGGCCTTCACTGGTTCCCTGCAGCTCAGGAAGTTCAGGGCTGTCTATCGAGTGATGCTAAATCCACGTGCCAGGGAGACTGCAGGGAGTCCGAGTCGCTGGGCCACGGCCATGCAGCAGCTCTCCTGCTCTCCTCGGCAGCAGCGATGGGGCTTCCCGTGGTCAGTGGGCAGTGATGGCTAGCGTGTCCGAGTGGCTCTTAGCTTCACAGCAGAGCAGATGTCACACTCTGCACACACACAGATCCCTCGCCTGGGGTCAAAGAGCCTGTGTTGGGACCCACATGTGAGCTCTGAAGCCTGTGGTTTTCTACTCTGCTTTATAACCGTGTCCAGCTGAAATCAGTGGAAATGACTTCCATTTTGCTGGCTACGTTCTAGAGGGCAAAAACCACATCTGCTCATTTTTCTGGAGACGTAACTCTGCGTTCGGCTCACCTTGTGGCCTCAGTCTGAGACTCTGTGTTCTGCATTTGACCAGAGTGTGGTGAGCACCTGCTGTGTACAGGGGCTGTGCACAGTCACCAACCTGTTGTCCCTGCAGGATGAGTATCCTGGTGGCCAGGGGTGCGTGGAGAGGACCGCCGATGGACGGCAGAGTTCTAGGGGTCCTGGAGGAGGGGGGACCAGAGCTCTGGGCTTTGGGAGGCTCTTGTCCCAGGAGGATGACAGACTAGGCCCAGAAAGAAGCTGCTCCTTCCCAGCATATGCCTGGAGGTTTTGGGTGATGTTGAGCAAGAATTGTCTAAAATTTAAAGCTGGACTCCTTAACAAGGGGAGGGAGTCCTCCCGACACGAGGAGTGATGACCCCACTAGTGGACGCTAGTAAGTGTGAAGGGAATGATGACAGTCATGCCTAAAAGTTAAGGTTTTATTATCCTGGCAAGGGGTAGAAATAAGATAAAGCCGGTCCTGCATAGGGAAATCCTGGTGCTACTCCAAAACAAAAAAAAATGGTTCTCCGTCAAGGCTTTCCAGCTTCGTGTCTCGGGGCTGCGTTACAGTCTTCAAAAGTCATGAGGATCTCAAAGAGCTTTGACTCATGTGGGTGAATTCTGTCGGTATTTACTATGTTAGAAACTCAGAGATCATTTAAAAATATTTAGTAATTTACCTTAAAGTAACAACGATAAATTCCTTATATGCTATTATAAATAACATATCTTGGTAATTAATATTTTTGAAACCTAACTATTTCGTGAGAAGGAAGGCACTGTGTTCCCCTGTGTTAAGACCCTGTAAGGTCTGACTCCATAGAAGATACCCAATTTCTCACGTGTGCTTCTGCATTCAGTCTGTGGAGATATGTTGGTTTTGATGGGAGTGTGTGAAAATAGTCCAGCCTCTCCCAGGCAGGGCGTTGGGAGAGGGAGGAGAATTTTCATAGCGTTCTCCTGACGACCGTGGATGTTTGCTTGTTAACACTAGACCATAGCTTAGCACACGGTGGCTTCCTGAAGGTTGCCTGCCGTGTGACAGCTGAAGCCATGTCAGCCACCATTTTGTACTCAGTGACGTTGAAGTCCATTGGCCTGTCTTGCACTTTGAGTGGTGTTTTGCCCACGTGTGGTTCTGTAGCATCGAACGCTGACCGTTTGGGGAATATTGGATCACTGAGGTGTGCTGAGCTTCTAGATGCTGACGCACTTCATCATACAGTATCACGTCTCATAGCATTACCACCATCTTGTCAGAAGAAGCTGGTAAGCCCAGAGTGGCAGACAAAAGTTCTTCAAAATTCAGAGTTTGGCTTAAAAGCTCAAATATTATTATTGGCAACACATACTGCCAGTTGTTTTCCTTGAAATGACAGTCTTTGTTCATTTTTGAGAAAGTGCTAAATACCCAAGTTTGAATAACCAGTTTGCCTGTTAGTCATTTCTTCTAGTGAAAATGATGTTTCTTGAAAAATGTTATCTAATTCAGCTCACAGCTCCTACAATTGACCAGGGGCATTTTTGGAAGGAATCACTGTTCTTTGGTACACATCTCAAGGGCTTTCTGTGTTCCCCACTTTGCCACACAGAATATTGAAAAGATGTTTACTTGAGGGTCGAGATCTGACGCAATATTAATCATAAAATTAGGAACTTCATCAAGGACATCCTTAAGCAAAATTGCCTTTTATTTATCTTCTTCACCGTGAGTGCGAGGTGCTAAGAATACGCTTTGGTGGTACTGCCTTGACTCATGCCAACGTGTCTGCATTTTACTCACCTTTCGCACCAGCCATGCAGGCGGCAACACCATGACAGAGGTAAATAACGTTGCTATTATTAGGAATGTGGTTTTGATCTCAGAGACCGCTTGAAAGGGTCTCCTGGACAGCAGCAGTGGACCGACTGCCCCGGAGAACCGCCGCCCTGGGGGCTGCTCTCTCAGCACAGGCCTCTGGTTTTCCCACAGAAAAGCCCCCTGAAGATGAGCTCACGACGGAAAAAGCATGAGACAGAGAAAGTGTGCACCAGGACTGGACATTAACTGGCATTGTGATTAGCAGTGATCTACCCCAGGGCCTTGACACCCTATAGCAGCAATGTGAATGGAGCCAAAACAAGTAATTAACATGAAGAACAAGACTCTGAAAGAAGAGCTCACAGGTTTTTGAAAAAAGCCCAACAGAACTTCTAGCAACCAAACTTATGGTTGTTGAAATCTACCATTCATTAGACCCAGCAGAAGAGAGGATTAAAGTAGAAGGAGAAAATTATTGAGTGGGCAGCACCGAGGGAGGGCACGGATTTGGAAGAGAGGTTAGGGCAGAATGAACAACAGGCCCGGGATGGGAAAACATGCCGTGGGAGCTCCTGTGTACACAGGTGGTGGCCAGAACTTTCCAGCACCTGTGAGAAACATGGGCTTTTATGGTCACTAAACAAACAAGTCTCAAGAAAGTGGCATTAAAATATCACACCTGGAGAAACCAGAGTGAAGCCACTACATATGAGAGGTCAGAGAAAATGTCATAGGAACGGCCAGTGACAGACAGATGAGTCGTTCGGGCCGACGGTTGGATGGGAAATAGGCTGCAGCAGGAAAAGTAGAGGCCAGAATGAGATGCATTGTGTTTGGTGTTCTGGAGAAGGATAACTGTCAGGCCAGACTGGATTT